TATAATAAATTTGATTGCAGGTTTTAATACTTTTGAGTGCATTGACAATTATTTCAATTACTATTACCCTAACTATGTCATTATTGTAAGTTAGTCATTAATAAAAGTGACCCTTACACAGAAAGGAAACAGAGTTTGCTCGGGACACATGTATAACCATTTTCACAACTGTATTCATGTATGTTCAATTGTTACTTAGATCTGTTTAGATTGATGGTTTTTATAATAATTCAAGATCACAACATAATGTATATGCGAACCTTTGATTAGATAGTTCATACAGGTTATGGGACACGTTAGTGCCTTCCTAGTTAGGGCACACTAAGCAAAAAACCGGAAAGCAGCACAAATTTCGTTGCATTATGGGGTTGTGGAGATTGATGAATTATTGATTGTCATCATGGATCGATCAATTCTAGACCATCATTTGAATCCGGGAAGCACTGAAAGACGGCCTGGAATGACATTTATCGTCATTTTGATCAAAGTTAGATATTAACACAGTTAGATACTGGCTGGACGGTCCGGAACTTAGGCGTCCACACGCAAGACGGGATGCAATGAGTTTGAATCGTGCGAGATGAAGCAGGTATGTCTCATACCACGACGAAACGGCCATCCGATGCTTCCAAGTTTCTAATGGTGGTCTAACATTCACCGTTTCATGATTTAAACAAGTCTAAAGTATAAGTCGAAAAACAAGAAGACTTGCATTATAGTTTCATATTTACGTTCTGGTACGTCGATATCTGACGAAAATGTTTATTAAGATGTTCGTGTTCGATATCTGTTGTATCTTAATGACACGTACGTTACATCACAAATCTGTACATATCAAATCGAATTTAAGTTTTTATGAAGTTAAACATTTGTAATCATTGACTAAGTGACGAATACTATTATAACAAACATTTATGAATTGATAATTGTAAGACCACCATTAGAAACCTGGAAGCGCTGTACAGCCGTTTCGTGCTAGTATAAGACTCGTGGGTAGTGAGCATCCACAGCCATCCCTCTCAAGCATAGAACCACGAAACTTCGTTCTCTTGCGTGTACGCTCAACCTTCACCAATATTAATGAAACTGACTAATCTTTATAACTCTATAATTAGAGAGATGACCAATAAGTAAGTGAATATTTCCGGATGCTTTGTTCAATAACAGAACAGATGGTTTAATAAAGGTTTTACAACATGTATCAATTCATCTTAATCATACTTTTCTAACTTACAAAACATAATTTAAAATGCCGAGTCACAGACGCTGGCCGAATGGTTTAGGGGTCAAGCGTTCGGATGAGAGACCGAACATCCTGAGTTCGATCCACTGTTTGCTTAGATGCACTGCTGACCGGCTTTACAATTAGACAAAACAGCTCTCCAACACTTCCAGATTTTAACATTGGTCTAGGCAATGTCATTGATTGATTTAAAAACTGATCGTACAAGTTTGATTACCACAGTCGATATATTCTACATCAAGAGAGTTTACTTACATAAACGCAATGTTATTTCCTTTTAAAGTATTCCAATGTTCTGTTCAGTTGTCAATATAATATATTCAAATATCAAGCAATACATATCATTTATACTGACTGCATTGATCATTGTTTTATTTTTAGAATCATTAGTTTATTTGTAGGAACAATGTTACTTGCTTTAAAGCAGATGCGAAACACATTTCCGTTGAATATCATGATGTTAATTATATACGTGAGAAACCATTTTGAAATTTAAACTCATTATTATTACTTTGAATAATTATGTTTATCCATTCAGTGTGACTGTTTAAATAATTAGTTAAAAGTATTGAACACTTGAATGGTAGAAATTCATTCGTTTTGAAAAACCTAGTAACTCACACAATGAACTCAGACTGGAATCCTTCTGGGTCTACTTACTACCTGTCCCGAGACTGGATAAACGAGGAGAAAATAATTCTTAGGTCAGTGTCGTAGTACATTCAAAAAGTAGTCAAGACAACGATAGGAAATCATGTCAACTATAGTCAACTACTATTTTCACACCTACCCATGTATGCAATCCATTCCATGAGTGCTATTGCTTCAGAAAAATCTGTCCAATTTACTTTACTTCCGGTGTGATGAATTTAATCGAAGAAATACAACGATAGAAAAGAAGAGCACTCCCGAGATAAATAAGTGGCAGTGTGAACAACTTGATTGATTTATTTTAGCCATAAATATTCTTGCTGAACTCACTTTGTTCTCCATCAAACAATGATACTCATTTTGAAATGAGTGTTGATTTGCGAAATAATCCATGTGGTTTGATATATTATGCGAGTTTAATGTTACAAATGTTTAAAGTAACTCATGTAGAGAAACATATGCATAAACCATAAGATAATAATACTATACCTTTGTGATATCTCGATAATTAACCAGTAGAATTTACAACATATTTCAATCCTTCGTTCATATCACTTATTCAGGGAATCAATAATGTTGCCAACTAATTTAACGCAGGTTTAATTAGTGCAAACGTTTTCATGTGAATTTGTATGCGTTAGTCAGAATGAAAAATGTGATTCTATCATTTTATGACTATCACAAAAATGTCTCTGATATGCATTTAAAAAATGGTGCTTTTCAAATTTCTACTCAGGCATCAACTATTTCTGCAGCTCAAGGGTATCCTCTGGTCGTTGTGCATGTTCTGGCTAAAGTCGGAGCATGGTCTATTGCTGTTGTATTGTTTTCGATTTTGGTTCCAATAGGTTCATTTATACACATTGACTTAAGTAAAGACATCACTGGAATCCTTATCTACTTTACTACTATATTTATTGGAACACTGCTGGCGGTTCTTGGTCTTGTCATAGCGGATCACAAACAAGTAAGTTATTGCAAATCAAAACAATGCATTTATTTTGTGAAAATCACAAACCGATCTAAGTTAGACGCCGCTGAAACCCTCAAGTATCCAACAGGCGTTTCATCCTCTATGACTGCACAAAAACTAATCAAATTGAGGAGTTTCTGTCTCTCTCATTCATGATAATCTTTTAAACTGCCTAACTGTTATGTGGTGATGTGTGTCATCACCTGCTTATACTTATGACAGTTACCTTTCATGGAGCATAGATTGCTGACCAGAATTCTCCAACTTAATTTCTTCCCACTCCTATCCTATCTTACAAAACTTTATCTTTACCATCCCATTCTTGAATGATACGACCGTCAGGTGCTTACATATTTTCAATTGTTGTCTAACTTAAATCAGTTGCTCATTTCAATTATAAAACAGCGATATCCACAACCTCACATTATTATTGCTCTGCATTTCTATTTACCTACGTATGTTTAAAAACTTACATCAGTTAATATATCATAGTTACTTGATTATAGATTACCGAAACGCATTACTTCACAATTATCGATTGATTATATTTTGTGTTCTATAGGTAGCTATGGCTGTTTTTGTTGGAGGAGTATCAGCAGTGTTGATTCCTGTGAGTTTAAAGTTCATAGACTGAAAACATTCTAACTAGAAAATCGATAATTATTTAGTTTAACTGATAGTTATATCGTTTTGAAGAAATTGTACCTCTACATCCCCAACAATTTTAGTCTTCTATAATACCGAAAAATTAACAGTCAGTTTGATTCCCTTCACTGTGAATCCAGTTTAATCCGCTTTGGGGTTTCAGTCAGTCTTTCCTCAAGTCCTTTAGATGTGATTATCAAGTTTTGAATGAGATTATTTTCCATTAGCTTGTATATGCTACTTTCTTTGAATAGCTCCTCAGCCTAAAACTACTCAATTTTGTATTTTTACGGTTGAGTTTCTTTAATGAGTTCTGATGTTTTGAGTGATGACTCTAACACTGTGGAGAATCCTAGGGATGAATCATTTGAATCGTAATTCAATCCATTCTGAAACAGACATTCTTCTATTTTAGTCAAAGGTTAATTTGATAAGCTTACTATACAATCGATAGGTGTGACTAAAATAGTTCTGTCCCCCCGGCATATGTACGTCCTGTGCAGTTTGCCTAGATATAGCAATCAAGTCAGAAACAGTATAAGCAGAGAGGGTTGGTGACTAGCAGTCGAACTC